GTGCGCTTCGCAGGAGAAGACCAGCGCGCTCAGCCTGAGCAACGTGGCTGGCGTCTTCTACATTCTGGTGGGGGGACTCGGCCTGGCCATGCTGGTGGCCTTGATTGAGTTCTGTTACAAGTCCCGAGCCGAGGCGAAACGAATGAAGGTGGCAAAGAATGCACAGAATGTTAACCCAACTTCCTCGCAGAATTCACAGAATTTTGCAACTTATAAGGAAGGTTACAACGTATATGGGATCGAAAGTGTAAAAATTTAGGGGGTAGGGAACGAGGTTTTCATAAATTCCCCCCAAATGCACGCTTTTATGGCTCCATCCGTTCCATCCTTCAGTGTTAGTGAATGAAGAGGTTGGCCAAAGGATCGTTTGTACTGGTGATTTATGATTTAATGAGAGAGAAAGAGATATCCCCCCTTTTAAAGATTAAAACTGTGTTTGTCCGTTTAAGTTTCCTTGCTATTTGAAACCATTTTCATGTATGACTGTTGGTGGCCTTGCTTGTTAATACCTCTGTCCTAGTAACACATTTACAACAATAATGCTTGCAATGACCATGCTTAAGCCTTCATGTGGTCGTTTGAATCGTGCATTGTGTTACCCATTAAGATCACGTTAAGTTCTCATCTGCATTCTCGTGTTTTGAACATTTCTTAAATCTTTAAAGCTCACAGATGTAGAGATTGCTCTAACCTAACATGTTGCCTCCTTGTTTGTGCATACGGCTCTTGTGTGAATGACGTGCGTGATGTGTGTGTGTGTGTGTGTGTACACGTGACCGGTGTGTGTTTAGATGACCTTTGGGAACGCCATGAGGAACAAAGCAAGACTTTCCGTCACTGGGAGCACTGGGGAGAATGGACGGGTGATGACTCCAGAGTTTCCTAAAGCTGTCCACGCTGTCCCGTACTCGAGACCTGACATGGGACTGAACGTCAGCCTGACAGATCTGTCCTGATCGACGAGAAACTTCCGAGTGCCTTACAATGGTTTCAATGGGGCTTTTCTTTTTCTGACCCTTCCCTCCCTCCCTCCCTCCCTCCCTCCTTCTGTTGCTGATGCTTTTTTTTAATGTTTCTGTCTGGTGAAAAGGGAAAGTTAGGAGGTGGAGGCTTCTTTTTTTGGTTTCACAGAGACCCTCTTCTCTCGTACAAACCTCCTCTTTCTCTCTGTCGGGTTGGAATTACATCTCGGATTTGAAAAGGAAGGAATCTTTTTTTCTAACCTGATGACACCACGCTCTGCTGTTTGGACTGAGACGGAAGAGATGGCTTCTGCGTGCGTGTGCGTGCGTGCGTGCGTGTGTTCGGAGAACGCAGGGTCATCGTGCGTCAATGCGGGAATATGTTGTAAAAAAAAACACACCGTTTCTGTAACCACCGCCGCCAAACCGGATCTACAAGCACACTTGATATCATCTGCATTAAGATGTGAAACTGTCCTTTTTTTCTAAGAAAATCCCCCCCAAAAAAGTTTATTAAAAAAAAACAATATTTTTATGTATTTTCACAAAATAGCTTTTAAATAAACTTGCTTACATACTGGTTGGATATGAACATCTAAATGTGTGAGTATTAAGACAAAAAAAAATACTAAACAGCTTCTAGTTCCATATTTCTAAAGCCAAATACATTGCACATGGGGCTGAGATGTTAAAATCATGTAATTACTTCCTACTCTAAACTCTCCTGTATATTTTATTCTTAACATTGGGTCTTGATATGGATATACAGTACGTCACTGCTTGACATATAGAATCAAACCTACTACGTTTTTCTTGTTGGAGTTGGTGCAGCGGTTTCGCTTTATACTTTTGTCTTTTTGTTTGCTTCGGTGCTTCTGTGTTTTTTTTCTGACGAGAACCAGGCTCTGTTTTAGTTTGAAGAGGAAATTGACCTGTTTACGCGCCATGAATGCAAAAAAAAAAAAGATGGTAAAAAACTGTACGGTCTGGTATTATTGCATCACATCTTGAAGTGAGATCAAAAAGAGGCTTCGACACCCACAAGGTTTAGGTGGTGGTTTAAAATGCCAAATAAGTAAGAGGGCCAAATTCTAGTGCCAGTAGACATGAATATAGTCTTAATATAATCAATCACTGTCCTCTCAGTGAATGTAAATTATACATTCTGTAACTTTTGTAACTAGATGTACAGTCGGTGGCAATGACAGTGCTAAATTGCCTCTTATGCTGTTTTAACGTCTCCGTGTACTTTGCATTGATCTGACAATGAAGTAGCACCAGTTGCATGTTGTTGCCGCAAATACTACATGCGTTTATTTCATTACTGCCAAACATGCGTTTTCATTTTAATGTTGAAGTTGTGAGGTTAATTGTTTGAAATTGGAAATACAATGTAAGACATATATTCAATATATACATATATACATATATTTTGTATAAAAAGGTTGAATATGAAAAACTATATCCCCTTTTCATTATGGCCTCAAAGCTACTCTAATAATGTTAAAACCTAATTTGGTTAGTTGTTCAGAAAACACGGGATTGTTTTTTCATTCTTACTTACAAAGCTTCTACAAACCAACACGTTTTATGAAAAGACACTTTTTATTTTGTCATTTTTGTCATCTTTTCTAAAACTGACCTGTGAAGAGCCCCCCACCGCATTTTAAGGGAGGTAAAGTCTATTATTATTATCACTGTTGTTTTTCTAATACAACAATAGAAACATTTACCGTAGTTGCTTATCAATTTCATTGCATATTCTGGATATTCTCACTGACATTTTGTAAATGGAATGTGTGCTAACTTGTTTATTTTTTGGGACTCTTTCTAAATAAAAGTGGCTGATCTCTTGTTATCTCAGTGTGAGTCATTTATTCAGGAGCTTCTGTTAAGGAAAGGTTGTGAACAGGGAGGGAGTGTCCAACGGAGGATTCTTTGCTTGACGTCAATCGGCGTAGTACATTCAGAACCAGAAATCTTTTGTGAATATTTATTTTCATTTGAAATCCCGGCATGAATTAAAAGACATGAGTTAGACTTAAAGGGTCCCAAATTGTGCTCTGACTACTGATGAATATACAAGGACCACCTAAAGCCCACTTGGGACAATCAAGACAGACTAAAAACACACTCACTGTGCAGTTTTTCCATCATGGTAACTCAAGACGAGGCAGCCTGTAAAATGAAGGAAAATGAATCTCCTTTCATGAGTTTAAAGCAGCTTAAAGCAAAGAGTGACGAGGTGCCCTATTTGGTCGACCCTCCTCCTGCTGAGTAATGAAAGGCACACATCTCTATGAACGTTGTCCACCCTCTGTCCCTCACCCTTGTCTTTGAGGAACCAGACTTAACCCTCATTAACCCTTCAGCCCAAAATAAGTCCCACTCCCTCGATGCCGTTGCAGTGGGAATGAAAGCAGGTATAAATGCCGCTTCCCAGGTCTGCCACTCGTTCTATGCTGCCCTCACACGCAGGACGAAATGCAGTCAAATGCGATCGAAGCCTTGCCTGCTGTTTAAACTATTTTTTGGCTTAGGAAGGTTTCTAATTGAGTAAAATGACCTGGAAGTCAAAGTATTTAACTGCTACTTAAAGGTGCCTTAATGGCTTCTTTGCCGTTGCAAGAGGAAATAAGAGGCAGTCCCATAATTAATTGCATCACGAACACTTAGAGCAAGGCATCATTTGCAATATATATCTATATAGATATAGATATAAATGTTTCTACATTTAGATTACATGTAAATAAAAACATATTATTGATGAAATTAAATGAGACAAGTAGTAAAGTCAGAATATAAGTCTGTCAGAGTTAGTGTCCCTAGATAACTCAGTGGGGTTGAAGAATTAAGCCGTCCTATTAGACGTAGTCTTGACACTTTAAAATCAGCGCAGCTTTTTGTAGCTCTAGCCTTTACTGTAAGAACAATGGCTTTATAAAGGTTAATACCGTCCCACGGCTACTTTGCAATTATGTTCTCTTTGAGAGTTGCCGATTTTGAACTTTGCAAACGGACTTATGACTTATTGAAGGTACATTTCCCGTGAGAGATGCTATCAGTCTACCAATCAGTCTCCCCACCTTTGTGTAATCAAGTGTGCTTATGGGCCATTAGTTTGGCCAATCACGGCCGGGAGGGATGGTTAACCGAAATGAATCTTTGCCCACGTGAGCCATCAGCCGGAGATGCATGAGCGGCGTCTCGGTCTCTCCTGCTGTTTAGGATCCTCCCTGGGCAGAAGCTAATGATGACAGAAGGTGCACAGGAAGTGGCCTGAATATGCCACCTCACACAGGAGACGCCAACAGCCCGGCCGATGCTTCATCTCTGGGTTTATTAACAAAGTTCCTACTCTCTGCCATGGCCTCATTAAAAGGCACCAGCGGCACGGCAATGCTCCCGTAGCAACGACGTTGCACATTTAGGATGAAAGAGACTCCCTGTCGTGACCTTTTTGTTTCAGCAAATCAAACGTGTCATTTTTCTATTTAATTAAAATTGAAGATTGAGTTATGAGCTATAGATCTGGTGTCATTTACTTTCACATCGATCCGTTTCATCTTTTTTTCATCGCTTGTCCCGAGCTTACTAGTCCGTCCGCCAGCGAAAGTTAATAAAGTTTCACCAGAAAAACATTGTGGGGACAATTTACTGTTGCGTTATTGTTGACTGCTATGAGAGGCCAACAGAACGCAGAATATCGATGGCAGATGGTTTTCAATTTCAAATTAACATCGTGTCAGAATACATTCTTACATGTCACTTCACCCACGTGCTAATATCTGTGCTAACAGATACTACGCTGATTTTGAAGCTGGATGAACAGAGGTAACTCTGTGAATGATGATTCTGATGCATTAGATATTTGATACATGTGTGATAATTGATTAGCCCAAAATGTTTCCTCAAACTAGTCGATTAATCAACTTGTTGTCATGAAAAATATGCACACTGTGCTGTGTTTCAACAAAAAGAAATATGGTACGAAAACAATGAAAATATGTATTGAAGTACTGGAGGAAAACCTTATGTTATCTTAATGACACAATTAAATCAACCTTACCACGACTCATAATATGATAGTGAGATTAAATTTTAAAGCATATATAATTTAAAAAAGAAAGTTCTATCACAAGATAAGCAATAAAAGCAACTTATGCTGCTGACTCAAACACTTTTGTCCTTTTGGAACCTCATTTTTTCTTTTGAAAAGACAGTTCAGCCCAAATTCAAAAACAGAAATTCTCCTTGAAGTCTTTCCAGGAATCTGGCTACTTATGAGCAGTTTGATGTGGGATCGATGGTTGGAAGAAAATGTTTTATTAAAAGTTACTTTGAAGTGATTTGATGAGAGAAACATTAGTGTTGTGTTTTTCAAATGTATTATTCTTTTGGTGCTTTGAGATCTACATTCCTGCTAAATAGTATATTTGAAAGAACATCTTTACAGCTGATATATCTGATACTGAAACTGGAAGCATAGAGAAACAGCCCTGCAGGTAAGAGGAATAATATGTCTTTTGATTTTGGGGTGAGCTGTCCTTAAAGCCTTTAATAAAGAATGAATTACTTTATATTCGTATTATTCATACGGAAAACAATCATTGTGATTGTCTGGGAACTTGTGATACTTGTGAACAATGATACAATATTAACATCATAAACTATAAAATTGTTCATGTGTAAAACCAACAAAGATGATAAAAACACATTGCTAAGACTCAAAGTACACGTCTGTAAAACCAATGACACTTCACATGCAGATGTGACATCTTCAATGGATTCCTGCTGGAATCGTGCACTGCAAACAACAGAGGAGGTCATTAGAGTTTTCACTCTTCTTTTGTCCGAAGCTCCAATGCGGGAAAAAGATGTTTCACCACAGTGAGCGATTGATTGAACGCTGGGCGACTACAGCACCTCACATCTCAGCGCCCCACAGAACAAAGGAGAGCAACACATTCCCGAAGCAGCCGAGGTGGGCGGGTGGTGTTGTGCGCCGTAAAAACAGTTATCCCCTGGCTGGGTTGTCATGGCAACAGCGTTAGCCGGGTTTGTCATGTTCCACTACAGCGTGTCATCCCTGTAGCTGCACGTTGGCTTGTGAAGCCGGTGGATGGAGGGGGCGGGGGGAAGGTGGGGGTCTGCTCCTCCATGCATACCTCCATTTAAACTCACCCGTGAGAATAAAACAAACAGCCGTTTTGTCTGTAGAGCGGCTCCATAATCATGTGTGATTCGGGAACAGTGACACTGAGGGGTGATTCAAAATGAACCGAGAGCTTCTCTACTGAGCGAGGTCGAATACATTACCATGGTTACGGACCTTGGTAAGCTGTTGTTCTGTTGTTTCTGTAACACTTTGAGCGCGCCAAAGGTGCGCGAGCTGCTTTGAGGTGGCATTTATTCTGCAAATGTCACAGATGCAACTTAGCAGATTCAGCAGCTGTGTTTAATAGCAGTGACATTCAAAATGAAGCAAACCGAAGATTTGCACTTTGATCACATTTGTTTAATTTATGAGTTTCCTCTGTGGTGTGACAGGTGAAGTACTAAACATGCAATCAATCAGAGGTCTGCATGTGTGTTCAAAGCCAAAACCAAACCCAACTCTCATCAATCTTAATTTCCGTTTTCATAGACTGAGAATCATTTAGTAACATTTGCGTCAGCAGCCCAAAAACAACAGTTAGAAAACAACAAATTGGTCTTTTCTCATTATTCATTGGTGGATAATTGTCCCCTCTCCTCTTTATCACATTGTTTAAGCTCACTTGCTTGCCATTGCAGGCTGGGCAATAAACTAATGGTCCGTCTCGTAACATTGTAGGATGTACTATGATGTACAGATGTAGGCCATCCTTAGGCGCTGCTCTGAGGTCCCAAGTAAGTGGATTATTCCAACAGATTAGAGAAACATTGGTTGATCCACTATGAATGATATAAAAGGGAAGCTCAAATACTGATAAAAGTTGGTAAAAACGTTGCATCTCATTTGACGAAGAAGAAATTATACAGCAGCTGCATAAGGTGTGTCTAAGTTAGTTGCCATCTGTGAGAAAAAGAAATCTTGACCTCTAAAGCGTAATTCTTAAGTTTCCATTCCACATTGATAAAATAATACTGACAATGACCTTCAATTTGCAAAAAAACGTTTTGTTTATTTTGGAGAATTATTCAATTAATTTAAATGTTATGCCGCATTCATTTCATGGTTTCTCCTCTAAAAAAAAAAATCACTATTCTCAACGTTGATAAATGAAATGATAGCCAGAAATCTGAGGCGTTAACTTTATTGGAGTTTTATCAAAGGGACTCATTTGGTTATCAATGGAAGATTCCACTTTCAGAAAGACACCATCTGACTCGGAACGTCTCGCTTGCCAACGGAGCTGGCATTGTCGCAGACCTCGGGGGAAACGGGCCTCTCGCCTGGGAAGATGGATTCTCCATGTCCACTGCAGACCACCGAGATTAAATCTTTCATCACACTGGCTCGCCTTGATTTATGTAGCCTATGTAGATTGCATTGCTATCCACATGAGCAGACTGCTCTTCAGCTATGCATGAGCTGAAGCGGTTGATGGGCAGCTGAGTGTCTGTGTGGATATCGCCATGGGATTGGGTGAATGTGTATGTGTGTGTGTGTGTGTTTGCTGTTGTACCCTCATCTTTGCTGGGACCATTTTGAGTTTTAGACTTTACGATGTGGGACCCCAACGTCCAGAAAGCAAAGGCACTCAGAACTTTTACTCAGAACTTCACCTTCTGTTGATTAGGTCAAAATTCGGTTTAAATTCCATTTAGATTGGGATGGAGTGGTCGACTCATGTACCACCGCCTGGTCAGTGT